ACTACCCAAGGGCATTGGCAGAGGTACACCATCGCATAAGTCACCCACACAGTGCGAATTTAAACCACAGAGAGATGCCGCCGTGCCATACCCAGCTGGTTGAGATTGAGGTTATAGATTTGTATAATGGCTTCTAAAGTAATACAGCAACGCTTATTAAGGTTTAGGACAACGCATATCTCCTGCCGGGGAAGTTTGTTCTTTGTTCTAAGCACAACAGAAATATCTACACATGCGCATGAAAAGCCATGTTTGAAGTGCTAATTGCAGAATTAATTATAATAGCCCCATGTTAGTAACTTTTCTCTCAATGCTGAGACAAAAATGCCAGACACCCAAAGTTAGAGGGGAAGGGGTTTATCTGGCTTACAGTTCTTAGAGGTTTCAGTCCATAATCAGACGACTCCAAGGCAGGGATGACAAACAGGCCTGGCAGAGCAGAAACACCATGACACACACAAGGCAGCAAAGGCAACAAGAGAGTTTTAACAGCATCTCCCTGCCCCTTTTATTTTAGACTACTTAGGGTGGGCAGCACTCACACCCTTAATCCTAGTGTCCTTGAGCCTAGCATTGCATCATGAATCAATTCCAGCTTCCCACACTCTAGATCAAGCCTGTGACCACATGAGGCATTGGGGGACATCTAGACTCAAACCGTAACACGCCCCAAATTGGAAACAACTCAAATCTGTTGTCTTGGTCAGCTTTTTTGTCCCTGCAATTTAAAGGAGGAAGGAGAGGTTTATTTTGGCTCATGGTTTCAGAGGGTTCAATCTGTGGTTGGCTGGCTCCAAGGAATTTCATGGCTAAAGGGCCTTGGCAGAAGAAAGCCACTCAGTCTGTGGCAGCCAGGAAGTAGAGTAGCTTGGAAAGAGCAGCTGAAAGGGTTAGGACCTGGGTATAGTTCTCAAGGTCACATCCCCAGGTGTCCCCAAACGCACTGAGAAGTGTGTTTTAGTTATCTGCCGGGCACCTCCTAATCCGGTCATGTTGATTAACAGTCACACCTATCAGCCTTATCATGCATAAGTGGGATGTGGGACAACAGCGCAGTGGAATATTACACAGATATAAAAAATACACATTCCCTGCAGCTGTAATGAAAGCAATGGAATCTCTGAGACATGTTCAGCAAAGGGAGAGTGACGTGCTATATGATTCCTTCTATAAAGAGCTCAGAACAGGCGCATCTGTGGTGTTAGGGTGGAAAGCGGAGTGTCAGGAGTGCGGTGCAGTCCAATCCGGCTTTTAGAATGCAGATGCTATTCTGCTGCTTGTTAAGGGATGTGGTTATGTGGATGTGTTTCCTTGGTAACTGAGCTGTATGGTTTATTTAAAAATGGTTCTCTTGCCGGTATGCATAGTGTAGTTAATATGTTTATTAAATGAAAAAATGAATGCATTCAGTGTTATCAGTCAGAGTCCTGCCAGGAAAAAAATGTCACACTCCAATTTGGTGATTGCACAGATTTTACGGGAGGAGCCGTTTGCCAAGGTGTGTGGCGGGAGAGCATGGGAGCAAGGCAGTGTCCCAGAGCCCGAGCAGGCTGGTGTGTGTGAGGCGCTGCTGATTCCTCGGAACCAGAGGGCGGGGTGCAGGGACACTTGGCAAGAGCTACGCGACCCCTGGCTGAAGTGAGAAGGGGCCCAAAGTAATGGCTGTGGCCGCCCACTCCCACCTGGCCGTCTCCTCCCAGCAGCGCTGCCTTGGGTCCTGTGCTGAGCCTTTGCTTTGATCCACACAGGCTGTGCTTGGGGGAGGAGAGTGGGTAGGAAGGGGCCACTCAGCAGCGTTCCGAGCCCCTGCAAAGGCTGGAGCCTTATTTGAGGAAAAGTGCGCAAAATAGGAATCACTTACGTTCCAGTCAACTTTCTTCCAAACCTAGATGCTTCTCAGTGACCCACTCGATACAACCGTGATATTTCTCACCCCCACGGGAGACCGTGGAGAAGCCTCCAGATGTTGAAAGGGAGCCATCGCCTCGCTCTGAGCTTTGATGTGTGAGCCACAGCTGGAGCCTTGGCATGTGGGCGGCCACTTCCCTGGACACAGGGAGAGAGGGCATCTCTAGGGCTGGGCCCTCCTGGTCCCGAGCTTGGCTCCAGTCCTGCACCCTCCCTGTACCTCAAACCTCCTACCTGGTAGCTCACTGTGAAGACGGGGTCGCTTTCCACACACCGAGGGCTTAGAGGCTGCACCTGGCGCAGGATGAGAATAACGATTAAAGCGAAGCAGTGGCCTTGGAGAGTAAGAAAGAATGGGGAAGGGACTTCGTCCTGAGAAGAACAGCCGCAAAGGCCAGGGGTGGAATGGAAGGTCCTGCGGCCTGTCAGCAACCAGAAGCGGCCAGGGCTTACGGGGCTGCTGAGGAGGGCAGGTCTGCCTGTTTTCTCACTGCTGGTTTCATAGCTGCAGAGGTCTTTATGGCTTCGTCCGCTCGCAGGACGGGTCCTAGGAGTTTCCTCTAAGTGGAGACAGGGAGCTCAGTCTGCCCCCTGTGCAGTGGGTTGTAGGCTCACTGACTTTTGTCCCGGAGAATCACAGGGTGCTTCAGTGAGAGGCATGAGATAGGTTTAGTTGGAGAAGTGCATTCTTGGAGAAAATAGAATGTGGTCTGGGGCTGGGGTTTTGGGGGCTGTGGGGTCTTCAGGAGGTGGAGAGTGTGTGCTCCCACCCTGCCAGGCTGCCCTGTGGGGGCCTGATTAAAACAAAAGCCATTTCTTCCTATTTCACTTAGTGGGGAAGGGCAGGGGAAAGGAAATAAGGGAAAAGAAAAAAATATGAGAAAATGAAGAAATGGAAATAAAGTGTTTGTAAAGGGGGAGAGGGGAGGAGGGGACAAGGGGAAAAAGGAGAACCAAGACCTGTCATGTAAAGGGACAGAATCCCAGTAATGAACGTAACTGTACTGTATACCTAGAATATACCAATAAGCTCAATGAGAAACAAAAAATAAAGCTAGGGGAGACTCCGAGGTTTCTCAGGGTCAGGGCAGGTGTCAGGGAGCCAAGCTCTGAGGAGAGAGAGAGCCTGTTCTGAGCGTGGACTCATGAGTGCCGCGGCAGGGGTTTTAAATGAGGGAAGAGAAAGCTGCACAGAGTTCTAGAGGAGCATCCAGCTTTTCAGGGAAGTAGCTGATGTTTTGACTTTTAGGGGAGAGAGTTCTATTGCCATGTGGCAGAGCAAACAAAGGAAAGCCTTTCTGACTGTAGAAAAGCACAGCTCAGGGAAAATGCACTCATGCAATTTTTTCTTTCTAAGAGTTAAAAAAAAAGAAAAGAAAGCTGTGATGATCTGTCTCTAGTTGAGGAACCAAGGAGTGAACATTCAGGTTGCTGTGGTCTGCACTGTGGGAGGTGCCCCACAGAACTGAAAGACAAGTAATGGAGTCACGCCAGCGAGGCCAGCGGCCGAGGAGGGACAGGCTGGGCCGGGCTGGCTCCTTCGCTTCTCTCTGTCTTCAGAATGAGGTCCCTTTGCCTGCTGTTCTGGGTCTGTGATCCTCATCCTAACCCCAAGCAGTGGCACTCTTCCTAAACACGACTTCTTCCTTCTTTTTTTAAAAATTTAATTTATTGGTACATTCTAGGTAGACAGTACAGCTACATTCATTACTGGGATCTACTTCTTCCTCCTTTTTTTAAAAAAAACCACAACTTTGGCTTTAAGAGGCTTCTGTCAGACACCTAACCCTAACCTGTCCTTGCTCCTGACCTATGAGATCTTTGGCCTCACAGGTAGAGATGGTGTTCAGCCACTATGTTTCTTTGTCATGGAAGCTGTAGAAAACGAATACACTTTTTAAATCTAGAGAAATCTATAGTCGTGTCATTGATTTTATTCTTGATACGGCGATTTGGTTTTCTCACTTCATGTCCTGTTCAGATTGGTTAGAAGTTAATCAGTCTTACCACTTTTCTCCAAGAGCCAGCTTTTTGCATTATTGCTTTTCCCTAATATTTTCCCCTTTTCTGTTCATTGATTCCTGCTTCAATCTTTATCATTTCTTTTCTTCTGCTTATTTTGGGTTTCATTTGCTCTGCTAAAAAAGGAGCAATTTAAATAGAAACTTCCTGAAAGAAGGTATACAGGTGGGATGCATGCATGAGAAGATGCTCAGCACAAGGAATCATTAGAGAAATGTGACTTAAAACTGTAACAAACACCATCTCACACCCTTGGAACCTCTAAAGTAAAATAGACTGATCAGGTCTTGGTGAAAATGTAGAGGAACCAGAATTCTCATGTGCTGCTGGTGGGATTCTAAAATGATTTTATAGTGCAATTTTGTAGTTTCTTAAGACGCAAACGCTTCGTAAGATTAGCCAGTCATGTGATCCAACCATCCCATTGCTACGTATTTCCTCAAGGGAACTGAACACGTGCATTTACGAGCAGCTGTGAACGAAAGCTCATAGCCTGCTCACTTGTAACACCACACAGCAGCATAACCCACACGTCCACCAGTGGGTGAACCATACGTGCATTGTGGCACAGCCGCGAAATGGTCGACTACCGAGCAGTGGATAATAATAAGCTATCGGTTCACACACCAACACTGAGGAACCTTAAAATAATTATGTCGAGTGTTGATTTTTCTGTCTTGTTGAATTGTCCATTGAGAAACAGTCAGACAAAAAAAAATCCATACTATATGATTAATTGAGGATCTATGCTTCCAGGGGATATAGAATACGTAAAGTAGTCTATAGTGAGAGAAAAGACATGGACGCTTTACTCGGGGTGTGTGTGAGGAGACAAGGGCTAGAGAGACCCAGAGCACGGCACACATGAACTTCTGGGGTGACGAATGCACTCATGGTCTGGATTGAAGTGCTGGTCTCATGAACACAGGTATAAGTCTGAATAGAAACTGTGCATTTTAGATATATGCAGCTTACAGTGTATCAGTTCTGCTCACTAAGGAATAAATCAGAACAAAAATGAATCGGCGTGATAACAAACATATCTGTGTGCTCATTTACTTGTATTTCAGGATGGATTGCTATTCTGGGTGCCGTCTGGTTACTGATTTTAGCTGAGATCCACGACTTTGAGGTGATTCTACACAGAGTAGAATGGGCAACCCTTCTGTTCTTCGCGGCACTCTTCGTACTGATGGAGGTGAGATTTTCCAACTTCTACAATCTGATCTCTTGTCTGATGTTTACATTTTGTATTTTATTTGGTAAATGAACAAAGCCTAAATCTGTAAGGCTTTCTGTATATTCACTAAGTAGAAAATAATGGAGGCTGTGATTGAACTATTATGTTAACCAACGTTCACTTCGGCCTTTTAAATGTTTCTGATGAAACTATTTATTTGGTTGCTGTTTTTTACTTGCTTTATCTTTGTGGCTTGTAAAATTGTTCTAATTCCATTTTCTATAAAGAAGTCTTTGAAGCATGAAAATGTTGATTGCCTTGATCTGAACATGACACACTGTATGCACATATCAAGTTATCAAGCTGCTGTCCTTCATTCATGTGTTCAATTATTATATGTCGAGAAAAAGTAGAACTTGCTCAAAGTGGGTTTGCAGGAAAACAACTTGTCACAGACGCTCAGAGTGCAAGATTGCTTTGAGAACTGACTTCCTCGCGTGTTCACTTGAGTGAACTCCTGCGGCATCACAGAGAAGCCTTCCTCACCGAAGTGTGAAGAGCACGCCTTGTCGCAGTTACACTTGCTGCTACAAATCTATTCACAGCGCGTTCTAATCTTGACATTTCACTTACAGTCTTGGACCTTACTCAGACACAAAGATTTACTGACGAAGAAACACGCTGCTCCCCAAAGCCCGCCTCCAAGCACTGCTTGCTGTATTCCTTATGTTTAGCATGTACTACACCTTCATTTTCATTAAGTTAAAAATATTTCCTAATTTTCTATGCAATTTCATTTTTATTCACAGATTATTTGAAGTTTCAAATATTTGGGAATTGCCTATGTTTGTTTCCGTTTTTTTTTTTTCCCTGATTCTGTTGTGCGCACAACTCATACTTTGCATGATTTCAGTTCTTTTAATTTCATTGAGACTTGTTTTATGGTCATTATGGATTTAGTTTGTTTACTTGTGCTTGATAGTGATGTGTGTTCTGCTGTTGTTTGGTGGAATGCTATATAAATGCTGTATGTTGTGCTTGTTCATGTGCTTAAGTGCTGCACGTCACAGATCTTCTGTTTTATCAGTTATTGACAGTGAGGTATTACAATTTCCAGCTATTAGAATTGAACTATATAGTCTTTCTACATATAGTAATTTTATTTGTTATTACCATAGCCACTCTAGTGGCTTTTTTGGTTGTGTTGTTTACTTTTTGCATAGCATACCTTTTCTCATACTTATACTTTCAACCTATTTGGTTCTTTCAACCTAACATTGACATCAGTCATCTCTTGTAGAAAGCATATAGTTGGATCAAATTTTAAAAATATTCATTGCATTAATATCTGCCTTTTAATTGGTATATTAATTCAACTTATGTTCGATGTAAATACCACAAAGGTAGTATTTGTGTCAACATCATTTTCTATTGTTTTAAAACATTATCTTTGATTGTGTCTTCCCTTGAACTCTCTGTGACGGTGTTTTTCTCTGTTACTGTTGCACTTAGCTCTTAGGCTCCAATCATTTCCTAGCTGACTGATCTTTTTCTTAAGACTTCATTCTTTTGAGAACTTGTGTAATCTCACAACAAAAGGAAGCACAGAGTTTTCCTATATGGCCCAACCATTATTCATGTATAACCTGTACTGTTATCTACATTATCCACCAGAGTGGCACATTTCTTAAAACTGATGGGCTTACACAGGCATTTCACCCTGAAAGCCTGCAGTTTATACCAGGGTTCACACATAGTGCTGTACCGTCCATGGAAAATGTGTAATAGGTTTGACAAGCGTGTAATAGCACACCCACCATCATAGCATCCAATACAGAGTAGAGTTCCTGTCCTAAAAATGCTGTGTGTCCCACCTATTTATCCCTCCCTCTTCCCAACTCTATATAAACATCCGTGTGCAAACTTTTGTTTTCAATTTCTTTGAGTTAAATATGAAGGAACACACTGAATGGATCACATGGTAAGGGCATGTTTAATTTTGTAGGAAATCACTAAACTGCCTTGCAGAGTGACTGTACCATTTGCAGCATTTTTTACTGTCTCATACCATTCCCACCAGCCATGATGAGGATCCTTGTTGCCCCGCGTGCGTCCTCACCAGCATTTTGTTTTCAATTTCTTTGAGTTAAATATGAAGGAACACACTGAATGGATCACATGGTAAGGGCATGTTTAATTTTGTAGGAAATCACTAAACTGCCTTGCAGAGTGACTGTACCATTTGCAGCATTTTTTACTGTCTCATACCATTCCCACCAGCCATGATGAGGATCCTTGTTGCCCCGCGTGCGTCCTCACCAGCAGTGTAGTGGTTTCTCGGTCCTGTTGTAATTTGTGTTTCCCGGATGAGCATCTTTTCATATGTTTATTTGCTTATTTGGTGTATCTTCTTCAGAGAGGCACCCGTCGAAGTCTTTTGCTCAGTTTTTTAACAAGCAGGTTTCCTGGTCGGGGGAGAAGTCTCTACTCTTTTGCTTCCTTCTCTCTACGGTATTGTGGTGGCAGACTCACAGTCCACGGTGTAGCAGCTCTTAGCGGTTTAGCAGGATCAGGCCAAGAAGAATGGAGAACGCACCCGGAGGTTGGAGGCAAGTGTACAGCCTTATTATGCTGGTGGGGCGATCAGGGATTTCTCCACACAGCAATCAGCCTGGAGCTGGCAGTGAACAGGGTTTATATGGGTTAAGGGAAGAGGGACGGGGCTACGGAAGTGAGGCCTTTATCATGATGTTCAGTGGTTGAGGCAGTTACATTTAGTTTATGTGACTGGATAGAAAAGTACACTGGAACCTATCTCATTTGCATATGGTGGGGAAGTAGGGATTACATCGTCTTGAGGATAAGACACTTACTGAGAACAAGAGACAATGAAGGAGGACACGGCCAGGCAGCCTCCGATGTGTGTTGGCTGAGGGAGGGGTGCGAGCTGTGGGCAGCTCTTTATCAGTTAGGTCTGCTGGCTGCAGGAAAATCTTTCTGCTCAGAAGTCATTTTTTCCTGCTCCCTACAACTAGGCCAGGATGAGCCCAGCCGGACCCCAGCATTCTTGGTGGCCTCCTGTGGGTGAAGCTTACACCCTGTTGGGGGTAGCTGGAGAGGAGTAGAGCTACCCTGATTTCGTGGATGCTCACTTGAGTCAGGCCCTTCATTGGTGCTGATGTCCTGAATTCTCAGAAACATGGTCGCCCTGGCCGGTGAGGCGAGGGAGGGAGGCGTCTCCCCATCACACTGTGGTGAGGGAAAAGAAAGCGACTGTAGTTCACGTGCCACAGACTCTCATTCCTCTGACCGAGATTTAATAGAGCTCTTAAATTAATGTCGTTTACTTGCTGTACAGCCTTAGGGAAATTTCCAGAGGCTTTTATTTTTAAAAATAATCTTTGGTCTCGCCCTCTCTTTTCCTAAAAGAAACCAGTTATGATTGTTTTCCTGGGAAAGTAGCATTGCAGAGCTCCTCAGTGTTAATTTCAAAGTCCAGTTCTCTACATTTCTTGTTTGTTTCTTCATTTTTCCTTCTAAGGTCAATGTTTGATGATTTCCAAAAGCTAGTAATAATTGCAAAGCAACACGTATCATTTTAGCAGCTGCGTTTTCCTTGAGGGGCACTTTAAAGTTTGCTTATCCTACTCTAACACCAAAAAGTGGTCCACAGCAGAACAGAACCAATCATCTTGGTCTTTAAAATTGGAAAGCGTCAGAAATGCGATAAGGTTTCCAGCGCTTTCCCTCCTGTCTGTGAGTGTTCGTGTACGTTATCTGGGTACCTTCTCCTAATGTTCATTTTGCTTTTATATTTCTGTACTAACACCAAGACCACTCCCACGTTGGCAGAGTCCTCAGCGTCTATTCCAGGAGCTGCTGTGGTGCCCTGGCCCAGGCCTGTCCTCCCTCACTGCCCAGGGCCACCACCACCTTTCATGGAAGGCGGGAGTGAGAGCAGGAATGGCTCTTTCAGGAGAGTGGTGTGGTATTCACGTTCTTGGATATCTAATTTATCTCTAGATCACTGCAGACTTCTGAGTTCTTTGTTTATTTTTTTCTGTATACAGGTGTCTCCTTTGTAGCTCATTTAATTCTCTCCGGTTTCTCTTCAATGCTTTTCTCCTTTGTGTGTGCTAACCTACACCAGTAGAGAGCTGAAGTAGGCACATTGATTCAGTTACCTCGCCATCGGGCAAGGCTGGTTCTAGCTCAGTCTCTTCTTGTATTCATTACCACCCTGCAGAGTCCTGGCGATAGAGACGAGCAGTTAGCTCACGTCTCCTATCTGTATCCAATAGTACAGCGACGTGGAGCACTGATCGTGCTCCTCTTAGTAAGCCAGAATATTATTTCATGTAATTTAGTAATATTGACTTAAAACACCTCTGGCAATTATAGGGATACAGTTTCCCCAGGGGGGGAAAAAGATAGAAATTTCATTTGCGCCTGAAGTTAGTGTCAGCAAGACCAGCTGAGCAAGGTTTCTACTTCAAAGAACATTTTGAATAGGTGTTGGTCTCAAGGCGTGTTAACCAAACGAGGTAATTTGGATTAGAGAGCAGCCTGCAGGGTTTCTGATGCTAGCTAAGGGGAGTGCCTGCCTTCGCTCCAGACGCCACACTTTGCTAGTCTTCAGCAGAACAGGTGGCCCCTCCCAGAGACCGCGATCTGCTCAGCGCCTGCCCAAGTGCAGAAAGCCAGCCGGAAGCTGCTCTACTGTCGCTGCGCTTCCCGGGCCTGCGTTAAGCCTCGCGTGCAGTCTGTGCTTCCCAGGCCGTCGGAGCTCCCTCTCGGAGCTCCCTCGCCCTAGTGCTCTCCCTCGGCCGGGTCCCTGACTCGGGGCAGCTTCGTGGAGAGGCACTGTGGCCAGCCCTCCTCACGCAGGAGAGCGCCGCCGGCCAGGGAATGCCCGGTGCTGGTCCCGCCCCAGTCCTCCGTCTCCTCTGTTCCTGGGCGTCCTTCCAGAGCTGGCCTCGTGTTGTTTCAGCACCCTCAGCCTCCGCCAGACCTGTGCT